GCTCTGTTTTGCGATCTTGCCATCACCCGCCACTATCCGGGATTCCCGACGGCCGGTAGGGCGATGGAAAGCCTTGTCCGGCACCGAAGATTTGATCACCTGAGAGGACTCTGACTCTGACCTGTAGCGCAACTAGAACCAAAGCCCAAGACTTGGCAAGAGCAGCATGTAAGTCAAAGATGTTTCAACTTTCAACTTGCTCGAGTTGGAAACCCCAGCTTCGGGCTGATGTCCGCCACACAGTCATCGTTGAAGAGATAGCCCAAAGGGGCCACCACCTGGATGCCCAAGATTGGACATGCAACCTGCTTCTATGATGGCACTTCGAACGCAATTCGTGTGAGTAGTGATTAGCACCGGACGCAGTCGCAGCAGCGGCACTAGTAGCAGTAGTAGGGCGTACTGGAGGCGTCTCACACACGCTGCCACGCCTCCAGGTGCACGTTTCCGATAACATTGGGCCTGGGCAGGGAGAAGCCTCTAGGACCACAGGATCCCAACCTCAAAACATCCTCCCAAGACATAGCATGCCATTCACTACGCATCCCTCTGAAAAACGCTGCAGTGGTAGATACGATCAAGACCAACGTACATGGCAACTTCTTTGCAGTTTCAAACCCAGGCCTTAGAACTCACCACGGCTCAATGCGCTAGTGTGGTGGAACACCATATCATATGACAAAAAATCATGAATTGCTAGTGCTACTACTGGCAGTACTACTAAATTCTACGATTCTACTACCATCAGCAAAATATGAATACAAATAAACATGATAATACTTGGAACATATCCTGTGCACCGATCTCCTCAGGACGCTTGGCTAACCGAGTGGCGCAGTCCGTAGCTCAAAGCCGAAGATCAAGGTGGACGCACGACCAGGATGGTCGTCACGGCCTTTTCTTCCAAGATTTTGGCTCTCGAGTTTAGGATTTAACGGGAAAAGTGCCGAAGAAGAATCTGAATCCAGCGCGAGGGGTCTCAAAACTCCAATCTCCGAATGAGCGTCTGTGACATGACACGTCAGCAGCTTCGATGCAGACGGTTTGTGCCTACAACGCCTCTGTAGGACTCAAGTGAGGCCGCTGCCGGAGAGTCGATAGTCGACATCGGCCACGATGCCGACCTTCATGCCGCAGGAAAAGGACGAGCACGTGTGTGGACTGAAGTCTGCTGAGGGGTCCTCACTCTGACCTGGAAGCGGGTTGGTCCAATGCAAACGGCTGCGCGTCAGTGTGTGTGTGTGGCTACATACCTGCATGTATGTATGTGTATGTGTATGTGTATATATATATATATATATATATACGTATATATGTACATGTGTAGATATGGTTACATGTATTATATTATATTATATTATATTATATTATATTATATTATATTATATTATATTATATTATATTATATTATATTATATTATATTATATTATATATATATATATATACGAAATTATGTCGGCGCACCTTTAGAAAAATACATGTATTACATGCGCATGTACGTACATGTAGAGCGAGAGGGAGGTCAATTGTGCAGGTACTTTCCCAACAGTGCCGCATCCCCATGTCTTCCTGAACACGGGAGCTTTATTTTCTGACTGATTAGAATACGCGGCTGCGGAATACATTATAACAAGGAGCCCCGCAAAAGGGGATCGAACACTAAAAAATGCTGCTCCTAGACTTTGAACCTATAGACCCTGAACCCAGAACACCCTAAACCCTAAACCCTAAACCCTAAACCCTAAACCGTAGCTCAGACTTCGGAGCTCAGCCTCGGGCAAAGGGCATGCGCTGTCCAGTTCGAAAGCCAGCCGTGGAAGCTCCGACATCCGCCAACTGATCGATGGCCTTCCTGGGCTTTATAGGGTTTAGGGTTTAGGGTGTAGGGTTTAGGGTTTAGGGTTTAGGGTTCTTTGACAGGACTCGAAAACAACAAGGGTTTGATGGGGTTCTGTGCGAGGGTTCTCTGCATGCAAAAGGTTTCTATAGCATTTTGCTCTACAGGCTTTGTATTCGGGCTTCGACGCCGGGTTAGGGTCTTTCGTCTTGTAAGGACTAATGCTAAGGGTTCGGGTGTGTCCGGTGCATCACTACCTCTATGAACCCTAAACCCTAAGCCTCTATGCCTCTATGTTGTGCGCCGTACACACATCCCCCTCCAAGATTCAAACTGAACTAGGGTAACTAAGCCAGAGCTGAACGCAGAAACCCTTGACTTTTCATGTTATCGTAGGTTATGGCATGGTATTATAGCAAGTGCACATTGTAGATTATGGAAATACTCTTGTATTTATTCTGGCGTTAGTATGCTCGTGTTGCGGAAATACTGTAGAACAACTACGAAAGCACTCTTCTAACCAACAAAGTGAGTCCTGCTGGAAGATCCCTGTGCCTCCACGCCCAAGGACGCAAATGTTCGCAAGATGAACACTGGGCTCGCATCCTTGGCAACAGTATTATATACATATACACAAGAGATTTGTGTATATATGTATATATATATGTATATATATATATATATATTGCACTGTTATGGTTATATTGTTCTAGTACTACTCCCACAACGCATCCTTGGCCACACAAGGGCCTCTGTTGCAACACGAATGTGGCATGCCCTGATACCCTGATACCGAAGTGCACCCGTCCCCGCTTCATTAGGGCCTGCGTCTCCAACATGCATGACAAAGCCGGTCCAACGAGAGTCGCACTTGCCAAGTCCGGAAGGCAAACGGCAGGCTGCAAGTTTCGATCGGAACGGACACTTCTTGTCTGCCTGCCCTCGGCCTTGATTGATTTTTTGTCCATCCATCCAAACTGAGACGTGCCGCGCAATCTGTTCTCAGGGTGCGGCGGCAGCTGTCACCTGCAGACGCAGAAAAGATCTTCGGGGACCACGGTTGAAGCGTGGCACAGAAAGCCTGCGACCTTATGACACGACCCCGTGAAGTGAAGAGTTCCGGGCTCGTCGTAGCCTCACTTAGAACTCCACAGAGCGTGGGAGTGGAGTTGGAAGCACAATTGTAGTCAATCGGTTTGTAGTCGTTGATACGGTATCAAGCAACAAAGAGGACGTCTATCTATCTATCTATCTATCTATCTATCTATCTATCTAGGGTTTAGGGTTTAGGGTTTACTCGCAAAGTTCTTTACCTGTCTGTGCACGGCACTAATTTCTTTTGCGAGCACAGAGCCTCATACAGGGACCCTGCTACTCGGGGTCACATCCTTGATGCCCTGTGACCACAAGAAGAACACGAATGACAACACTAAGCATAGTTACTACTATTGTTATCATGACCATCCTTGTCATTATTTTATACCTATAATAACTAACTATTCTTCTTTATTTATTCTATAAATATACCAACTACCTATTGTTTTGTGCGTTTTTATTCAAACTCCTCCATCGGATCCGCCTGAGACGGCAGGAAGCAGGTCAGCAGAAAACACCAGCGTCCAGGCCTCGGCTTCAGCAAGATACCCACTGAGACGAGAAAAATGGGATACTACTATAGCCTATCATTCTAGTTTAGTATTTTGTTGTTACTGTATACTCTTATAGTATACCATTCTAGATCAGTAGTATTGTTCCTGTATACTACTATGGCAGATTTGTATAGTACTGGCACTAAGGCTATTCTGTCGCAGGTATAGCTTCTGATTCCCATCACTGCCCTGCTGTCATATGGTAAACATACGCTCGGATCGGAGGTTTGGGCTCAGGTCTCCCACAAAAAAGGGCAGTTTTCTAAACTAGGGTCCTTTTTAGGGTCTCTTTTATAAGGGTGCCGCATTATACTGGGGAACCTCTTTAAAGGGGACCCGAATTTAGAGAACTACCCAAGAAGAAGAAGCTTCTTACCCATACACCGTGAGCTCGGAGGCCCAATGAACAGAACTTCCCCAACCGAGGAAAGCTGGGCCTCGAGGCCCACACTGGGGCCCCAAGGTCCTCTTGTAGCCCCTTTGCATGACCCTAAGAGTCCAAGTAGTCCTTACTTCATGGGTTTTAGGTACCCAAAAAGGCCCCAAAGTCCTGAAATAATGGGTATCTTGGACCCTTACAGTAGGGCCACTTTCCTTCTGGGAGTTTTGTTGAACCTCCTACTTGTAGGGAAGTCCACTGAAGCTTGGGGCTGTACAGTGACAACGGACGCTTGGCAAGGAGCCACATAACAGATTCTTGCCGTATCATTAGTAGCAATGAATATATAACACTATACTGTTACTGTATATCGTATCATGAAGCTCTGTCGTCAGGCTTGCCAGGTCAACCTGCTTTCCAATCGAGCAGCTGCATGTCCATAAATTCAGTCCTACTATTGCCTATCATTCTTATTATTCTGAGCCTGCTGATTTTTGCTCTTATTACTCTTAACGCGACTGCTAGGAGGCTACCATCATTAAACTTACTACTATCATGTTCAGGGTTGAGGCGCCACATTTGCCGAGCTCGCCATTTTTCATTCCCCTTGCGCGAGCTGACAAGAGACAAGGCACGGCTGATTGCAATGATATTTCGAAAGTCGACAAAATCCGATAAAACAGCTTAAAGATTTCTCGACTGATCAACACTCCGTCCATGTATTTCTCTAGGCCACCGCTTCAAGTTTCGGCTCAGCCGCTCTTGGCGGCCGTACAAGGACTATGGACCATGGATGTGCCTGCCAGACTACATGCAACTGCGCACCACCAGGGCAGGTCGTAGGTGCTGGCTCGGAAGCTCTCGTCGCAGCCAAGGTTGCCGCAGAGCATGGAGAACCTGCGCTGGTCCGTCCACGATACCGTGCTCCCTGACTCTACCTTAAGAACCCGAAACCTACTTTTTTGTAGGGTCCCTATAAATCCCATATTAGGGGTTTATCATAAGAACCTACAAAAAAGTGGGTTTTGGGTTCTTAAGGTATGGCCTTGCTCATATCATGCCTTTGGTCAGAGAAAGCAATGACATGACACAGAGCCTAGGAACATGGGCACCGAAGTGATGGGCCACTTGGGGTCATCGAAGTGGCGGGTGAAAGCCACGGTCATCCAAGCGAATAGTGCGAAGGAGCAGACCAGCGACAGAATCGTCAAAGTGTCCTGCGGGTCTAATTTAAGCCCCAAGCGTCAGAACGTCCTGGAACCCCAAGCCAGAAAGTGACACGATGTGCACTCCTTCGAGGCTGCAGGAGTACCTGGGACAATGGCCTTGACCTCCGATGGCTTGGCGTTCGATGACCAGTAGCACTTGCCGAACACATCGGCAACCAGCCCATTTGGTCTTACTTGGCTGGAAGGGTCTGCACAGGGCTCAGGGTACCAAGGCTCTCGGGGCTTACATAAGATAATACAGGCTCCCTAATCCTACACTCGCCGGGACGATGCGTCAGTGACCCCGCGACATGAGCAGGATGCTTTCTGTCTTACAATTAAAAATGCTCCCTCAAAATCGGTCAGGGAGCACCAAGATCACCCACGTCTCGTAGTTATACATGCTGGCCGGGCTGTTTCCCCAAAGCAAGTTCACGCCGAAGTGGAAGGAGCAAGCAGTCAGGCACCTCTGCATATAGAGTTTTGTAGGTAAGATTCGAAGACGCGAAAAACCAAGTCTTGGAGACATAGGCCGTAGCCGCTCAATTGCTCCGTTCTTCTCGGCAAACCCTCAACCCAAGCCTGCTTCTTGCGAATTCTGTGCTTGTAAACTTATCAAACTGATATAACAATGGTTGTAAACAAGCACGGACTCATCAACAGACCACATATCTCTCAATGCTAGCAAGTCATAGTAACATGAATGACGTAAAGTGCCACAGCAATCAGAAGAAGGACAACAATCAGGACCATCGAAGTATTTTGTTCGATCATAAGAAGAGCGGACCCGCCTGCGCCAGCTATGTGCGAATGCTCCTCAAGTCTATGATATATGCATCGATATAATATAATACTTACTATATTAAATATATATACATATACACACATTAACTATAATTGAGTTTAATTTATGTTTTTATATATCTCTTATGGCAGTCACATATTATACTTTGCAGCATGCGATAATATATATATATATATATATATATGTATGTATATATATATGTATATATATATATATACTAAAGACAAATATTATACTTATACGTATGGAGAAACCCCTGAACTCCCAGGCCCCACAAAGCAACTCGAAGCTGAATGAAGGAATGCAGGGCACCAAAGAATCCGCACCGGCCCGAGTTTGCCAAAGGAGCCTGGCCCCAGAAGCGCCGAGAAGGAAAGCGGCAGCTCAAACAGCAAAGTCAAGACCTGGTCTTTGGGGCGATTATGTTTTTTTTTTTTTGTCACCTCTTTTCCGCTTATGTTTTTTAAGGTTTAGGGTTTAAGCTCGAGGATGTTAGGCTTTCGGATATTTTAGGATCAATTCTTCGGGCCGAGTCGCGCAGAGAAGCTGTGACACGGGGCGATGTAGGGCCACCTGCCTGGCAAGCCACGGGTAGCCCACGCCCTTGTAGATGTTGCGCACCATGCAGGAACAAAAAGTGGCTTTCTGCAGAGCTTTGCCATCCAGCCAAGCCAGCAGGGGGCGGTTGTTGAGGACCTTCGAGATGCCTCCATTGATGTAGGAGACACAGCACACCAGCATTGCAAACTTGCGGAGCCACGAAGACACGCGCGGCTCCGGCGCAAATGCCAAGGCTAGAAGCGCAAGGAAGATTCCGAGGAAGATCCAGGACACGATTAAATAGCGGTGCCATGGTTCGCTCCCATGGTGTGCTCCCGCTCACGAAAGATGAAGGCGAGTACAGCAGGCAACAGGAGAACACTGGCTGCCAGGTGCCAGACTGACTTTTGTCTCGCTTGCGGGCTGGAAGTGGCCATGACCAAGATGCAAGCAGCTGCTGGAGTGAAGATGGCTAGCCAAGGAAGAGCATACGGCCTAACCGGAGTCTCCTCTGCCTCGTCGAAGGTCGGATGGTCCAGCATCGCCCCCAGCCAAAGCAGTGCGCCAGCCATGGCCAAGTAGATCGATCGATGTGGGGGGAGATCTCTGCACCAAAAGTTGACCTGGCAAAGCGAAATCTCTTCAAGCTTGTCGGCTTCGGTGGTGGTCTGAGCATACCTGCCACCGAGGAGGAGTACCGCCGCAAGGAACATAAGACTTGACCAGCCACGGGTATTCTCGCCAATGGGAAGCCAAAACTGAGCAACCTTGTCCCAGTTAATGCAAGCGAAGCTTGCAGTCTGCAATTTGCAGGTCACCGACTTGCGGCCTTCCAGATACGCCAGGTCGCCAGGCTGGGGCGGCAGCCATGCACTGTCACACTGCCCATACTCCTGTGGGTAAGCGCAGTTGACTCTTGCACATGCTGTTAACGGAATATACAGGTTGCCACTTCCAAGACCCGGGAGTAAAATACACAAATCGCATCCTTCGGTAAGCTGGGTTGCATGGCGGGCACCTGTGCTGCAACGCGGTATGCTCGTGATGCCGAATGCTGGAGCATCTCTACGCCAGCATCTTCCGCCAAAGCCTGTCATGAGTGGGCAAAAGAGGGTACGTGTTTGCAGGAGCCTCGCAGGTTTCACTAGCTTCACTGTTTGCCTCATCAGCAAACTTGCTTTCCAGGATTCGACCAGCCCTGAAGTCGAGACAATGCGCAAGCACGCAACAAAGACAGAGCCTCGCATGTAGAGCTCCTGCATGCGTGTGTCTGTGTTGAAGCATCGCCCGGCAACGCTGGTACCGCGAGTGCGCAGACGATGAGATTCCATCGGGTGAGAAAGATGGAGGCCATTTGCTTTACCCCAAAGCCCTGACCCACGCCGACGGTATCCGACAATTACACTTACGCCTCTTCGATGCAAGGATGGATGGAAGCCATCCGAACTCTCCGCTGCTTCGAGTGGGGGTGATCCTATACCAGCCTTACCGAGGCCTAACCTGCGTCTGCAGCCAGACATGTCCATGCAGGCTGTTACTTGCAAAGGGCTGCTCGGCTCGGACCCTAAGCGGCCTTCGCTTGACGCGACCGAGAGGCGGAAGGTTTCCATCCATCGGCCGGATGGTGAGCAGGGGCTCTTGGTCGGCGGTGCCTTCCGAGCTCTTTGCTGCAGGAACCAACTCGTGCTTACCCGCCGGGCTTACCTCAAGAATGGCTCCCTGCAGAATCTTGTATGTAGCTAGCAGAGTTCCGATGCCAGATGAGCTAGTTTCTGTCTACCATCGGTGGCCCCACGCAATCTCGCATTTGAGTACCATTTGTGCTGCCCTCAGTACAATTACTGAAGACCTTAACCCCGAACAGCTAAGACCTGCCTGCTGTCGCCGCAGTACACTCAACACGGACCTGGGCACAAGTTGCGATGAACAGCCCTCATCTCCACAAGACTGCTGGTCAGTAATACAAATTATTACACAGCTGGTGGAACATGCGTAACTGTACCTTGCAGCAGCAGAAACACGGCAGCAAAGCTTGAGCGAAGAGCTAACCAAGTCCCCGGCGGGGAGGGGCAGAAAGGGATCGAAACTTCCAGAAGGCGGGAACGGCACGCAGATAGATTCGAAAACAAAGCCTGGCAGCCACTGCAAAGCTTCAAACTCTGCCTCTGCCTTTTACAACACGCCACTGTGCTACGCTACCAATGCGACCCACAACCACTGCTACTGCTCGTCCGATCACTCCTCCCCGTTCTCCTACCATCATACAAGCGTGGCACTTGTGCATACGACTCCTCCGCTTCCGCCTCTCCTCTTGCTCCTACTGCTGCTCCTTCAGTGCCACAACTAGTACAAGCACTACAAGTATTACGTGCGACGAGCACTACAAACCTACAAGCACGACAAATACAACAACAGTTCAACAACAGCAACAGTAACAACAACAACAAC